AGTTATAAAATTATTATAGCTTTTTGCGTCAACGAAATTTTTGCTCTTTTATTCTTACAAAAGGCATTTAAACTTATGTACAACAATGGTATCTCATAAAAATACAATAACAATATTAGACTGTTCCCAAGCATTTTAACTAAGTTTGTTTCATACATTTAATGTCGCTTTTTTTATCTGTTTATTCAATAAAAAAACATTTCTTGAACAAACATGTAATATAGTTTGCTCTCTGCACTCAAGAATTCTAAGAACATGGTTAATTTATGAAAAGAAGAAAACCTCTCATTATTCTTCAGACACGATAAAGGTGTTTTGCATTCGAAAAACTGCTTGTTAGTTTATAAAACAAATAGAATAAATTTCTTCTCCACATCAAAAACAAGACACATGTTAATCAAATATTTGCGAGTATACTAAATTAACAGATTTTCACCGTTGCTACTGTGTAATTATTACTACATGTACATAGCTGTCGTGCTTCATGGTTCCAGGGTTTTTAAAAAAAAAAAAAACCACAAAACAAATAGGAGTGATTTACTTGAATAATATTCATGGTCTTTGATTACTAAATAATTAACTTGTATCTCAGAAAATAAAGTTGTTGAAAACATGCTCATTTCTTGCAAAAAATAACACGATCAATTCACATGAGGTAGCAAAATGTTTCTCAGGTATGTATTGCGGTCCATGGGTCTCTCCTGAATCCATGACTAGACTTTGTCATATTATGTTACGTTCTCCTGCATTACTTAAAACAACGAGACATCGTCATATCAAGGAAACCAAAGGCTTGAATATAACAACTCTAAAGTTGGAATATTGAGTAGATGTGATTCCAACTCACTGTGCTTTTTCTTCTTCAAGATTTATATCAACAGACATCCTGAGCATCTGCAAATGTCAACACAAATCTCTCAAATATAAACAATAATTTGATTAAATTTTACTCATTTTATCGGAAAAACTTACCTCCGTATTGTCAACACGTGAGAAGTCCTCGTAGGTGGAAGGTTTCCTTGGACGATGTTCATTTCCAGATAATTTTATCCAAACACAAACAAGAAACAAAACAATAAAGAAAACGATCGGAACAATAGTCGCCGGAATAAGAATAGATACAAACGCTTGTGTAGAGTTTGGTCCTGGAGTGGTTTGAAGGCCTGTTGGTTGTTGAGTAGTTTGTGATATGTTTGGTTCAAAGGTGGTACCTTAAATGAAATTTAGATAAAATTTTATTAATAATCAAAATAAAAATGAGGCACAGTCAAGTGTATGAGTAAACACCATAAATAAATGAGACAACAGAGAAACAATTCGATATAAAAGTATCTATTTAAAGAGAAAATAATGTCTTTTGCTTCCCATTTATTTATCATGCCTTTAAAACATTATTTATTTTATTTTCAATTTGAAGATGAAACTCAATTTATTCCATTAAAACGCACATATTCCTTTAAGGCTTCCGATTTAAATTAATATTCAATAACTAACAGTGTACAGTTTAACTTCGGTGTCTCGAACACTTACATCACGAATAGCAAGGTTATGTCAAAGTAATTTGGAAGTACTAACCACTTAATCGTAGGTATTAATTTTATTTTCAATTCATCGAATCCTTGGATATTTCCAAGTTTTTTTTTACTCAGTCCCATCGAATTTGAAATAACGAGATATTGTGTACTTGGTAGGTCACTTTTCTGTCTAAACCTGTTTAAATCAGTTCTTGAAATTTTAATATTAAGATAAAACCAATTCGATGAAAACAGCTAGTTTAGTAAAATTGTTAGACGAATATGCAAGATTGTTTTCTATTAAAAAGATCATTCTTAAAGAAAAGAGAGTCTTGTTGCAAATATTCATGGATATTTACATATGAACTGATCTGAAACTAGTTTGGATGTTGCACCTGAACTTAATTGTCAAATTTCCTTTTGAGTTTTGAACGTTCTACTCATGCAATACCGAGAACGTAGAAAGATTGTTGATTGAAAAATATACTGCATTCTTATAAGCTGCTGTAGTGGAGTTAAATTCTACAAGTAGGACATGCTTGAATCTAAACACTTTGGAAATTCGGTTCCTTTATTTGAAAAACAATACATTATGATACCTATACACCTAAATTTTCTATCGTGACACCTGATCCCACTTCTGATGTTTTAGAGGTCCATGGTTGCTCTGGCCCAATTGTTATTTGCACATTCAGGCTTGAATACTGTTTGTAATCTCCATGTATTTCATCTTCAAATGTCAGAGAATTCAAAGTGAACAAAGGTACAAAGTGAACCCGTTCTCAAATTTCCCACTAGATTTTTATCCGGAAATTTATTTATATATGACTATAAGCGAGAATTTTAAAAACATGTCAATATTTAAATAAAATGAAAGAAATTGTAAGGGAGTCATTTCATAAATATTTCATGTCCAGTAAATACATGTAATGAAGTTTACAAGTTTAAAGTACTTGACACACTTTTATCGTAACCCGACATTTAAACCATTGACCCCGTCTGATGCGGTTCTGAAATTGCGCATATGCAAGTGACACACATACATTTGATACGCAGTCATTCAAAAAATCAAAAATCGAGTCTTACCATTCATTGTGCCTACATTCAACAATTATATCGATATCTTTTTTCATCAGCAGACACAAAAACATTCGTTGTACTACGGCTCATCATCAGAATGGTTTGTTTCCTGTTTAAGTCGAAGTCCTGCATTTCTCCTCACTCTAGCAGTTTTTAAACCGGATATTAGTTTTTAGTTTCCCTGTGATGATATCATTCAAGTACCAGAAACTAAAATTGTAAAATATATAGAGTACTGTACTTTTACAAACATTTTAAAAGAAAAAATGCTTTCTTAAGGTGAAATTCGTCATCTGCATTTATATATCAAACGAAAGGCTCATGGGCCTCATAGGTCCCTGAGCATCATGCAACAACATTCCAACAATTAAATTTGGTTCATGTTTTAAACCATAGGCCTTGACACTCACAATTTTGAAAGAGGCACCATAGCTCATCATAACTATACACTTAGCATGTTTTGTTTGGTTACTAAATACCCATATGCATAGTACATGTAGTAGGGGAACAAAAAAGAATTTCAACTAATCAGTAATTATCAGCAGTGCCCCACCCCACAGGAACTATGACCCTAAGTCCACACATTTCACGACAAAGGAAAAGGCATAAATGTTTTATTAATATGAAGGAACAGATTTCAAAGCATTAATTCATTTTCAGCATGTGTATATAATTAAAGACATCCCCCGCCCTCTAAGGTTCCCCTTATCCAGAGGCCTTGAAATTCATAATTCTGGAAGAATGGCCCTTCCTCATCATAACTATGAATGTAGTTAGATTGTTTAATATCCAGGAGCAAGGAAAACTATTTTCAAAGAATTTATGCATTTTTACTTTATAATCAATAAAGCCCCGCTCTATTACACCGGAACCCCTAATCCTGGGGCCATGGAATTCACAATTTTGGAAGAAGCACACTTCCTCATCATAATATACGTACTGTGAAAAATGAATAAAGTGAATGATACTCTGCTACCTTTATAATTATAATGGCAAAGTCCAAGTTTTGCTCTGGGAGACCCGAAATAGGTGTCAGATCAAAAAGAAAAAAAGAAAGTTCACAATGGCATTATGTAATAAAGAATCTGTGAAAATATTATTAAATTTTGTTCAGTGATATAGGAGAAGTTGTGGATAAGAGATGGGTATCTTTTAATATTCTAGAAAGAATGGCAGTATCTATACTTTGCAATGGGAAACTTTAAATATGTGTCAGATCAAAAGTAAAGTAAGAGGTACACAATGGCACTATGTAACAAAGATTCTGTGAAAGTCTCATTAAATTTCAAACGACGTTATACGAGGAGTTGCGGATAAGAGATGGGTACCCAAAAGCATAACAAACAAGTAGATGGACGGATGTCCCTATTACTATATACCCTCACAATTTTCAAGCAGAGGGTTTAATGAATTCATCCTCACATTGCAGATTGTCCTTCGGATAAGAGAGTGTAAGCCGGGCCTCCATGTGGCCCTAGTTGCTTGCTCGAAAGAGATTCTTTACATACTGCTTAAAGACTTTAAGTACTGAGTACAGGTCCTTGTTTTAAACCCTCCATCGGCTTTATTGGTCACATCAATTTAATCCCTAACCTGTTCTGGCCCAGGATCACGAAACGGACTTAGAATCATTTCAAATTTTCAGTTGACACTTACATGTTTATGGAAGATTGAATTTATATTTAAGTTGGCAATCAACAACACTTTTTAAAGCAACATTGAATCATATTTTTATATTGGTCTTCTTGACTATTTCAACATTTTAGTACAAAAAAAAATGAACTAGCTCTAAAGATGTTTTATAATCCTGGGATCCGATCTAAAACTAGCCTGCAAAGGGCCTAACAAATAAAAAAAATATCAAATATACCAGCATTTTTTAGACTGTTACTAAAACTATTGAGTTACACTTTGAATCATCCTTGAATAATCAAAGATTACACATTCTATTTCCCTCATAATTAAAAACAAGGAACAATTAAAGACAACGAACAGCTGTTTGTCTTTTTAAAATGCTAACCATACAGGTCTGTGAAAAGAGCATAAAAGGGGGACCTCTGGAAATTCCAGAGATGAACGCAGCTTTCAGGGAGGAGCGAGTTTTCTTTTTTGACCATTTTTTTTACCATTACACTCGTCCGTAAGCACTATCAATAACTTTTTGACCCGTCATTTTGACGAAGGCAAAATCGTTTGAAGGTAACTTTCTATATACGGTTCACAACCAAAATTAAAATATTTTTTGAAAGTCGTGCGTTTTACATTGTTTTGATGTTAAACATAATTTGATAAACGATTCTCAAAAATCCCCGCTGATTTGAAATTGTCCTTTCCATGATTCTAGATTTGTTCTTAGCCATTAGCATTTTAATCAATTTAATAAAATGTAAGCAAACAAAACAATGCTCGAAAAACAAAAAATGTTTATTCAAAAATCATTCTTGTTTTAAGAAACAATTTATTCTAAGAATTGGGATACTTGGAGATGGGGTCCTTCCGTTGTCTTTGGTGTCAATATCAATTAACACATTTGGGAACAAGTTTTAATATGTCTATCCTCTACAACTTCTTCCTCGGCAGCGTCTTTTTGCTCCGGTGTTATACATTCCGCCGATTCTTTTCCTGCGCGAACTTTTTGCTATAGAAAGAAAAATAAGACTATAGTTAACTAATAATTGATCGATATATTATATTAATCAGGTCAAAAAACGTGAATAAAAATCAATAATGTACTGTTTTCAAGAAATTATATTATTTGAACAAAGTAGTACTTTTCAGTAATACAAATAGTTTAATTCATATTCTATCAAAGTTTCGTCATGTTTTTTTATTCTCAAATATGAATGGTTCGAGTTTATAACATTTGCTTTTAACATAAAACACAATAAAACATATCATCGTATTTTTGTTTGTATTGTTTGAACAAATTGTTTGGCAATATGTCAAAGGGATGGGACACATTAAGGTCCAAAAACTTAGAGAGTCCTCTCTCAAACATTAAATATGACTAGCCATACAACAAAGTTTTAGAATAATATTTATAAATGTACATAGAAGAACAAAAACAATTGTTTTTATTAATAAGGGAAGAATATTAATTGATCATGTTACATATAATTTGATATTATTCAAAATAAAATAATTTCTATAGAGATAAGAGAAATAAGTGATAATTAAAATGACCCGTATCCTGACTAATTTTTTAAAAGTACCAGTTTTTTCTCATTTCCCTGACAAGAAAAAGATTCATCTCCCTCTACACAATTTATGCACATTAGTCATTTTGACATTATGAATTACATGTAATGCATTCGTCATTGTTTGTGTTCAATTTCATTTACAAAAGTAATCCCCACTGTTATTGTACATTATCAATTGTAAGACACACGTTAAAATATCATCATTGCCGTTATGCTTCGAGGATTCTTTTTTCCAACTTAACATAAAATATCAAATTGTTTAAATAAATATGAAATATAAATATTCAATAACCAATGAAATTTACTTTCATATAAAGCTTACCTATCCTAGGCAATGATACAGCATTATTTCCAACATTTCTTTTTGCGATGTTATGAATTGTCCTAAACTCCGTTTTCCCGCCATGGCTTGTACATGTACATAGAAACATTGTTCCCATTAGTAGAAGAATAATAAATAATAGATTCGTGGTCATTCTGTCTCTCTTTGATATGTTCGAACGATGTCTATAGTATCTCAAAAGATAATACCACTTACGCAAAATAGATATTTATTGAAGTCCTTTTTATTTCTTATCAGGAAATTAATGTAGTGTAATGTATTTGTACGTATTACTAGTATTTAAACCATGATGGATGTGAAAACGCCTCACGTGAAAGAAGGTATTTAATGAGTCTGTCATAGAAACAGGTTGTGCACTGCTTTGCAACATTTGTTTGATCGATTGATAATGATCGTCATTAATATAGAATTCTTTCGTAATTAATTTACTGTTCCCCAAACATGAAGCATTATTAAATTCGGTTTATGATTATGAAGAGTTATAGAAATATACATTTTATTCAGTAAGGTGCCCAGAGTTCTTGAAACTGCTCAGGCAGAAATGAAATATTAATTGTCTGAATGGTAAAAAAAAAATGTTGATAAACACTCTTGACGCACTTTGAAAAATATTTTCAAAGTGCGTTGATTTTGTCCCAGACTTGACGCACTTTGAAAAAAATTTCAAGGTACGTTTATTTTGTCCTAATTTCAACGCACTCTGATTTTTTTTAAAGTGCGTCGCCACAAACCACATGTATACTGTAATTTTTTAGCCGGGCTTATTGCTCAAAGAGCAATTGCCAGCTTATGTCATCCTGTTCAAGAGAGGAAGTCAACCCCATAGTCGCCATTTTAAAGTTACGTGCAAAAATATAGTTCTTACTCTCAACCGCTTTTGGGATAATTAATACAAACGCTAAATAAAGCAACAAAAATAAAACGAAGTTTTATCTTTATAAATATTAGTAATTAAGACTTTGAAAACTTCAGTCCTAAGTCAAAGAACATAGTTCATTAGCGTAAGGATTTTTGATGATCAGTGTTACTGTAGTTCTCTACACATACGAGGTAAGGCAGGAGAGGGAACCAGACAGGCCTGTTTGTTTACATTCAGATGCGATACCAGATTAATTCTGATTCTGACAAAATCGGACGTACGTGGTATTAGGATTGAAAAACTCACTGTCAGTGTCTTATCATTTATATTGATAGTTTTAAAATATTTTTTTCATCAGAATATAAACGTGATTCATGTAAGAAATTCATTCTACTCTGTAGATGAGCCCGGCTCTCTGTACTTCTGAGTACTTTGATTTTATAATATGAAGGTAATATCGAAGGCGGGGATCTCATTATCCTGAGATTCCCGCCTACCATTATTCACTCTCATACATTCCTAAAAATCTTGTAATTTATTGAAAAAAACAACAATAGTAAATAATTTGAAATACGAATTAAAGAGAAGATATATAGCAATACAGGAACAGCGCGTTAGACCGCTCGGCTATCTAGGCAAGCCAAAAAACTTGCTTTCGATGCTGATGGAATTCTCCCAGCGCTGCCCTATACTACACGGTCATTGATAATAAAAGTGAGATATAGTTATTTGGACATTTGTTTTAGTAGACGATCGTTGCCAATACACATTGTATGAAATTAATTTTGTTTATAAAGCACAATTTACAACAACTCTTTAACATTTAACTTGTTCGATAAAAATCTTTTCCAACGTACAAATCATTGGAGATTCTTTTTATCCCATGTTTTATACATCATTATAAATGTTTTTCTCCTCTTCGATATAGAAGCACTTCATTTTACGTAAAAGCCTTGTCGTTGAGTTTCAAAAGTAATGACCAAAGAATGTCTCTTTCAAATTTGTGAATTTTAGTGCCCCTGGGTCAGGGATTCTGGTGTAAGGGCATGGCTCTGATTATACAGTGATAATGCATTAATTGTTTAAAAGTTTTTTTGGTGACAGACGGACAGACTGACAGACAAAATAGATTTTATGTTCTATCACTCTCGCGAAAGCAAGGGGCAAAACTGTTGACAAATACGGTAGAAATGTATAATGAAATAGAATAATTATGGCTGAACTGCCTTTGAAATCGTACAATCGAATCATTTTATATTTAACCAATCAACGTTTATATAACAGCCAATCAGAATTCCCAAATTTTTAACCAATCACTATTAATTAGGCATAGGAGAAAAATATGAATAGAGACAACCATAAAGTTGTCGGTTACTTGCTCGTTGCTTATTGCTTGAGTAACACCTCTTAGGCTCTGTTCTTGGGCTGTGTCGGGAAACAACAGAATAGTTCGTTAGACCACTCAGCTCAGGAATCTAGTTCCTTAGTGTCTCAGTGACTCATGTCTTGGTGACTTAAGCTTGTGTCTTCGTGACTTTAGTTTAAATAATAAAGGTGTCTCTGTGACTTGCTAGGGTGTGTTTTTAGGTAGTTGCAGACTGTGTTGGGAAACAACAGATTTGTTCGTTATACCACTCAGTCTGCAGCTACAGCGATAGGATTTATATTTGATTATTGGTTTGATTATATGTGATTCTTTTGTTATACTTCGTTTATTATTTAGTTTACTAATCATTGTCCAGATAAGACCAAGCAAAAAGTATGCATGTATAGTTAATTTCAGTCCGTCGTTCTTTAAGTGCCATTGAAATTATTGAAGTTTGTTTGATTTTATATAATAAACATGATTCTTAGGAAGGAAACCTTAGCGGACCCAATAGATAATCATTTTTACTTTGTAGGAACCTTACAGAAAACAACCAATGAACATAGATTTTCAAATGTGACGTTTCCGGGAGATTGTTCTATCGTATGGGTCAATTCTTTTGAATTCGTGAATACATCTTTTTGCTAAATTATGCAATTTGCAATTGCTGGCTGTGCAAAACTTTCCCCACGCGAACATTTAAACATTTAATGATTTATAATAAATTACACAGTTTCTAACAATGATTTATAATAAATTACACCATTTCTAACAATCGAAATACATCCTAAAAGATGATGGGCATATGCAGAATTTTTGTCTTAAACTGGTCAATCATGAATCTCAATTTACAAATAAGACCCCCTTTACAAGTATCTTATTGTTATATACTTTATGAAATGGAAAAAATTAAAGTTTACGTATACAGTGTATTGTCTATTTCATTTTTCGCTTCCTCTAGCGCAAGAGCCATTTAAAATATACATGCAGGAATTATGTTTGAAAATAACTATCCTCTACACTATCTTCTTCGACAGCGCCTTTTGGCTCCGGTGTTATATATTCCATTTGTTCTTTTCCAGCCTGATACTTTTTCTACAGAAATAAGATTATGATTATGATTGACATATTATCAACCATTATGGTTTTTTTTTTTAAAAGCTACAGAAAAATCGGACGAAAAATTGACTATTCCAAAGTTTTACTGTATACAAGGAAATTTTCGCCCCCGTTTTATTTTCACCCCTTTCGCCCCAGCCTCATTTGGACGAATTTAAAACGGGGTGAACTCATATAATACAGTATAAGTACTTAAATAAAACTCTGACAGGGCGAATTTAAAATGGGGCAAAATTGACCGCGAGTGTGAAAGGGCGAAAATAAAACGGGGCGAAAATAACCCTGTACACAGTATTATGAACATAAAACTTTTACTTCTTAGTAGTAGATAAAATAAATTAACGCAATGTCCTCATGAAGGTTCCAAATTATTTCATTCATGTTTTGAGACGAAACGTATGAAGATAACGAACAGTCTTCAAATTGATTGATTTTATATGCAGACGATAGTGCCATACTCTTTTCCCACAAATGTACCGATTATATAGCTAAGAAACTCAGTAAAACACTTGAATCTTGTTCAGACTGGTTGGTTGACAACAAATTATCATTACACTTAGGTAAAACAGAGTGTATGTTGTTTGGTCCGAAACGAAAAATCAGTAAAGTTGATGATTTTTTCATTGTGTGTAAAGAGCATGTCATTAAGGCTTCTCAACAAGTTAAATATCTTGGTCTGTACATTGATTCCAAATTATCTGGTGAAAATATTGTATCTTCTTTTGTTCAAAAGGTGAACTGTAGATTAAAATTTTTGTATAGACAAGCAAGATTTTTGGATCAAAAGAGCAAATTCTCATTATGTACAGCACTTATCCTCTGTCACTTAGATTATTCATGTAGCTCTTGGTACTCTGGACTGTCAAAAGCTATGAAACGTAAATTACAAATTTGCCAAAATAAGGTCATTCGATTTATGTTGGATTTATCCCCGATGCATTCCATCAATTATAGTATTTTTGAGTCTATTAATATGTTGAATGTGGACAGGAGAGTGAAGCAGATGAGACTGAATCATGTTTTTAATATTGTTCATAAGAAAGCTCCTGTTTATCTTGAAACAAATTTTACAAGTTTAAGTAATAATTACTCTAATACTAGATCCTCTAATAGCCACAACTTTAAATTGCCATCGATCAGATATTGCCAAGATCAGACTTTTTATTACAATGCCATCAAAAATTGGAATGACTTGCCACTTTTTATTAAGAATTTAGAATGTAAAGAAACTTTTAAGAATTGTGTAAAAAGCATTTAATGGAGGATTTTAAAAGCTGTGAAGAGCGTTCGTTTATATATTTTTGATTTTTAACAACTATGAATGTATTGTTTTATTTTAAATGCGTTGTGTAATTTATTTTCAAATTTGATACAGGGTTTTTTAATACCTGTCCTATCTGAATGAGGTGCCTTGATTAATGTATCTGCCAAAATCTTGCCTACATCCTCGTATTTAATTTTGTTGTTTAGTTAGTTTTTTGTTTTATTTATTCACTTATTTATTTATAAAAAGGACCCCATTGGAAATAAGCAATTTTGCTTTCATGGGTTATCCTTAGGTTTATTAATTAATGTCATGATATCACGATGATTATAATGCATATATTTTTATTCATAAAATTTAGAAATGTCATAAATTGCTTTATATTTTAAAAACATTCGGAAAAGGACACCTGTATTTAAATTTAATATTTATTTTTGAAATTTTATTACTGTGATAAGGTTTTTCATTTTATGCATTATTTATATTTGTACCACCCTGTATCATACATTTATTTTATTACCTGAATAAATCTACTAGTACTACTACTATATTCAAGATCAGATGTCCATTTAACAAAACAAAATAGGAGTAGAGCAAATACGGGCCTCCAAAACATCAGAGATGGGATCAGGTGCCATGATGGAGTGAGCGAATATAGCATTTGCTGCCTTTATGAAACACAATAAATACCGGGGTATACGATTGTTTGTTTCATGGTGGCAGCACAAACTTTTTACTTTTGTTTGCGTTAACTCTTGTCCCGTTTCTAAGAAGGCCGACTTTTTCTACAATTACGTATTACCTTACATCATAATCTTGAGATTTCGTTTTTTCTTTAACCTCATCTCAATTCATATAAATTCAAAATAAAATGTATTGTCCCTTTTCCAAACCAAAATTTTAAATGATAAGTAGCTCATCTATCTTAGGCTTTGCAGCAGCAGTATTTCCAACACTTCTTTTGGCGATGTCATAGATTGTTTGAGATTCCATTTTCCCTCCTTGCCATAGAAACATTGTTCCCATCAGAAGAAGAAGAATTGATTCCTGGTCTTTTCCAACAATTATCTACATATAAAACAAATGTTTATATATCAGAAGGAAGCTGGAAATATTTGTGTCTTGTCAATATCTAAACATGTAATTAGTCTAATTTATGTGTTTTATGTAAACCAGGATTGCCGTGTATTATCTTCTCTTGTGAAAAATGTGTTGAATTAATCTGTCATAGAAACAAGTTATGCACTGATTTGCAACATCTGTTTGATCGATTGATAATGATGGGCATAAATACCAAGTTTTAATTAATTTGTAACTAATTAGCTGCTCTCAATATATGAACCGTTTTGAATACAGTCTTATGATTATGTACCGTTATAGAAGTGTAGAATTTATTATGCATGTACATGTACTCGCAGTCCTGAAACTGACCATACAGAAATGACAGATGGTGTCGCCTCTTAATAAAAATCTAAAACAAAATAATTTTGTTAGAACCTGTGTCGGAAACGTCTTTGTCTCAAGATTTTAGCATTCGTTTAGCAGTAGGTTAAAGGTACATATGACATTTTGCTTGCTTATTAGATATAATGCAGACTTCGAAACTCGGAATGGTAATTTTATACTGCGATTGCACATTTTTAGTCGTTTAAAGCGGTACTTGTTATGTAGAGAATATGAAAAATAACGAAAAATATTTCTTCAAGCATCGTCGTTTTAGAATTAATTATGATCTGTAAACATAAGTTACAGTGACAATATTAAGTAAAATTACTCAGGAACTCTTTACACAAATGTAGTTTCTTTAGTTTTACTTAATAACATAAAGGATATTTAAAACTTACGTATAACACCAATGTCATTTGGTTACAACGATAACTTTATATTTTGATTCTTCATTAAATCAATCTATCATATGGTTTTTGAATCACGTTACATCACTGCAATGTGTTACATTATGAAATATTTACATTCGCTGTGTTTTTCTACTAAGCCAACTGTGAAATTGATTTGAAAACCATTTTCGTGTATACTCACGCATAGAAATATACACGCAGAAACGTGCGTTAACGTGACGTCACAATGAGACTACAGCAACTTTAGTAAAAATGCAAAAATATAGGGCAGGGAGAAATTCAAATATTGAGTATATTTTAGTTGCTTCAAAACATGTAAAATGTAAATATAAGAACTGTTTTTTAAGTTTTGTGTGAATATTTGGTGTGAGAATCACACAGACTTGCACGTAGGCATATTTTTCATGAAGCGCCTACGTGACAAGTCTGTGTGATTCACACACCAATAACTCACACAAAACTTAAAACATTCCTTAATTGGATGCCATCATAACGAAAAAGTGTTTTTTCACGTTCTGAATAATTCATTCCATATGCCTTAAGGATGCTGAAATAAATAATACATGTGATCTGTCAATTTCAACACTTGCGTATGGAAAAATATTCATCAATGTTAGTCATGTTAGTATTTAGTTATCTATATTTAGAACATATTCAAAAGTCTATAAAATTGCTATAAGCGAATATATTTAATACTTTATTAAAATAAGATTGTGTGATTTTTAAGAGATGTTCAAATTGTAGAGTGGTTATCTTCTGAACGCTTATGCATCATTGCAGTAATTGGTAGGAACAACATCTGGTCGACGTCGAAATCAATCAATATACCGGAAGTGCATGGAATGAAACTGTTAATTCCCTCACTATACGAATAGGACGTGTCAAAATTCAAAGAGATTTTACATGTAGAATTTAAAATATTAGAATTCTAAGATTTCGGATGTGACATACTGAGAGAAAAAAAAACAAAGTCGTTTCAGCTGTCTTCGGTGTCGATATCATTTAATACATTTGAGAACAAGTTTTATAATGGCTATCCTCTACAACGTCTTCTTCGACAGCGTCTTTTTGGTCCGGTGTAATATATTCCGCTTGTTCTGGAGATTCTACGAGTATAAAATTTTCCTAAAGAAAGAAAGAATAAGAGTATAATTGATGACTAAATGATAGGAAATAAATGAAGACCAAAACGATAATAAAAATCAGTGAAGTATTCCAGAAATGATATTATTTGCACAAAGTAGTACTTTTCAGTAATACAAAGAATTTAATTAATATACTATCATTTTTTTTCAAAACTTGTACATTAAGAATTACAAGTAATGCATTCACCATCGTTTGTGTTCAATTTTCTTTTCAATTTTTTTTTCTAATCCCCACTATTAGTGAACTTCATCAATAGTGGACATACGCAGACATATCATCATTGGCGTTATGCTTCAATTAATCTTTTTTCTAACTTAAACTAGGAACTTCAATAGTTCAAATTAATATAAAATGTATCGTTTCCTCTTCAATAACAAATAAAATGTACTTTCATATAAAGCTTACTTATCTTAGGCTTTGATACAATATTTTTGCCAGCACTTCTTTTGGCAATGTTGTGGATTGTCTCAGACTCCATTTTCCCGCTATGGCTTGTACATAGAAACATTATTCCCATTAGTAGAAGAAGAATAAATAATTGATTCGTGATCATCTCCTCGTTATATCGACGATTGTCTATAATATTTCAAAAGTTAATTTCACTAACGCAAAATAGATATTTACTGAAGTTCTTTTGATTTCTGATCATGAAGATACATATACTCCCTGGTGTAATGTATTTGTACGTGTAATGTAAACCATGATTGATGTGAAAACTCCTTATGTGAAAAAGGTATTTAATGAATCTGTCAAAGAAACAGGTTGTGAACTGTTTTGCAACATTTGTTTGATCGATTGATAATAATAGTAATTAATATTAAATTCATTTGTAATTAATTTACTGATCACAAAACATGAAGTATCATTAATTATTATATCGTTTTATAATTTTGTAGTTACAGTATAAAAATATACATTTTATTCAGTAATGTGCCCACAGTTCCTGAAACTGCCCAAGCAGAATGAAATGTTACCGATTTTATGGCCTCTGGTAATCTAAATAAATAACTGAACACATGTTTCGTATTACATATTTACATACAATTTATGAAAAAAGTATTAATGCTTTCGTATGTAAAATTACCTAACTTGTGCATATTGCTAAATGGACTTTTGCGAAGACACTGACTTTCACGGTTGAGGGCTTTGTTTTACACCTGGAAAATATACGGGAGCTCTTTTGTGAAAAAAATATTGATCTTAACTTTTAACAAAACGGTAATAACGGGCTATTTCAAGGATCATTTAATGTTGTCTAGGAAGGAAACGGCAACATTCCTACCTTCAACACCCTCCATTCCAGTCTTCTAACTCCTGCCGAGTTTTCCTACCGAAATGTGTCTTCTTTATTTCATTTCCTAAATTGTTGAAAATATTGAATTCTCGTGAAAAAAGTATCTAAATAAATTTTATTCTACCCCAATTATATTTTTTGTTTGATAAATTATTTCAAAGCCCCGAATACAACAACTTTCACCTCAATGAATGCTTTATTATATAATTTCAATTCCGTACCTCCGTACATGTCTCAGGTTTAAATGTCCAAGTAAGCCGTCAACTGTAAAAGTCAGTGTCTTCGCAAAAGTCCAATAAGAGTTCGTTGGACAGCATAATCTATGAGTTATTCCCAGTAAAGTTGTTGGAGAAGCACAATTTTATCCTAATTAGGCAGTAATAACTTCATAAAATATGAAACAAAAAAACCTAATATTTTCAAGTAAAGTGACTGTTAAAATATTAATTTATGACTACATATGTATGTTGAAATTTGAAATTATAAGAAATTTAAAGGCATTAACGTTTATCATAAAGCTTATGAATAAAGTGATTTTATCATTATTCTATAATATGAATTCGCATTGTTTTATTTTATTTTGCATCTCAAATGACAGATTTTAGTTAGTTATAGCAATGTGCAAATAAACCAGTGGTGGGCTTTAATTATTAAACTGCAAGCATGGAAGGGATATCTAATAAGATACCAACGCCTGTCTTTATAAGGGGACTCGGTTTTAAGGAAAGGATTACCTTAAAGCTGAACACTACTCGTAAATAGGCATAGTCCGCCATATTTTCCGTTCTTCAACGCTCTCCTTACAACCCGTATATAAGGAGCAGACCGCTAATCAGTTCAATGTATTTGACTGTAGAGATCGACGAGTGTAGACGTACACCTTACACTGCGTGCTACTCAATCTCGATGAAATTATCAATTTTTACGTATTTTTTCCAAAACAGGACAAAAGTATCATGAAAAATACAGGTTAATACATAATTTACAAACAGAAAATACATATAAAACAAGAAATAATCGCAAAAAATCGGGTATTCAATTTGAAATTTGCGGCTGTGGAAATCTTTCCTTTACAATTATTTTAACATCCTTATAATTAGGAAATTACACTTACCGTTTTTAACAATTGAAAAACATCCTGAGGATGATGTTCATATACAAATTTTAACTTACAAATAAGACACCGTTTAAAAGCATTTAATTGTTTTATACTTGTTTTATACTTTATATAATTAGAAAAAGATTACATATTGTCTATTTTATTTTTCGCTTCCTCTAGCACAAGTGCCATTAAAAATACATTGTATTAATGCAGGAATTATGTTAGAAAATAACTGTCCTCCACAACGTCTTCTTCTACAGCGTCTTTTGGCTCTGGTGTTATAGATGCCGCGTGTTCTTGCCCAGCCAGATACTTTTCCTACAGGGAGAAATTATAATAAATAAGTGTATTTGACATTAAATCAACCATTTTTGTTTTATAAAAAAAAAACTTCAGTAGAACCGGACTAAAAAGAATTACGGTATTTTACTAGAGGTTGTGAGCACTGACCTCAAAAAATAATGCCCCGGCCTCCCATTGGAAAAAAAACGGCAATGTCTATGTTTTGCTATGGGAAACCGAAAATATGTTTCCGATAAAAAAGTAAAATAAGAGGTGTACGATGGCATTATGTAACAAAGAATCTGTGAAAGTCTCATTTAATTTCATTCAGTGGTATAAGAGGAGTTGCAGATCAAATATGGGTATCAACGGCGTAACAGACAGACGGACTGACCTACAGACTTTCACAGATCATAATGTCATTATGCATCTCTTATTTTACTTTTTGATCTGATGATTATTTCGAGCCTCCCAGAGCAAAACATGGACTTTGCCATTACAATAAATAGAAATATGGACGTATCATTAAGTGTGCTAGATGCTCCCAGTACCTTTACTTTACTTTTGTTTGCCTTAATTCTTGTCCCTTTTCTAAAAAGGCTATCTTTCTTATACGGTTACGTACTTTACTCAACTTCATAGTCGACATGCTTCGAGAATTTTTATGCCCCCGGATCGAAAGATCGGGGGTATATTGTTTTTGTCCTGTCTGTCTGTCTGTCTGTCTGTCTGTCTGTCTGTCTGTCTGTCTGTCTGTTTGTTTGTTTGTTTGTTTGTCCCACAACTTTAACCTAGCCCATAACTATTGAGTGGTTGGGGCTATGGCTTTCATAATTCATAGGTGTGTTACTTGTGACATGACCTTTCTTTGGGTACCACCAAATTTGACCTCTTGACCTTGACCTTGGAGTTTGACCTACTTTTATTCTATTTGTTATCAACTTTAACCTTTGCCATAACTTTTGAACAGATCGAGATAGAGACTTCATATTTAAAATGCATACTCCACTAGATAAGCACTTTCAACTGACACCAAGGACAATGACCTTTTGACCTTGACTGTGACCTATATGCTAAAAATAGATTTTTAGAACTTTCGGTATAACTTTTGAACCATAGGAGATAGAGACTTTATATTTGGTATGCCTACTTCACTAATTAAGTGCTTTCAAATGACACAGAGGTCAATGTCCTTGTGACCTTGACTGTAACCTTTATGCTAAGAATAGCTTTTTCGAACTTTGTTGCCGCCGGGGGCACAGTGTTTCACAAACACATCTTGTTTTCTTCTTGATTTTCAATTCATATAAATTCAATATACGATGTACGAGTACTGTTCCTATTCCAATAAAATATTTTAATTGATAGATAGGTGACCTGTCTTGGGCTTTGCAGCAGCAGTATTTCCAACACTTCTTTTGGCGATGTCATGAATTGTTTGAGACTCCATTTTTCCTTCTTGCCATAGAAACATTGCTCCCATCAAAAGAAGAATAATGAATTGATTCCTGGTCATTTCCAACAATTATCTATGATATAAAAAATAAATGTTTATTTGTCTGAAAGAAACTGGCTATGTATTGTTTCTTGTCAATTTCTAATCATGAAATTACTCTAGTATAATGTATTTGTATTATGTACATCAGTATTTTCGTTTATTATCTACACGGGAAGAAAGTGTAGAATGAATCTGTCATAGAAACAAGTCGTGCACTGTGTTACAACATCTGTTTGATCGATTGATAATTATGGTCATAAATACGAAGTTTTAATTTATTTGTAATTAATTAACTGCTTTCAATATATGAACCCTTTTGTATACCGTCTTATAGTTTATGTATAGTTATAGAAAAATAGAATTTATTCTACATGTATCCGCAGTCCTGAAACTGACCATACAGAAATGAAAGATCACCGATGGTGTCGCCTCTTAGTAAAAATCTAAAATAAAAATAATTTCTTTAGACCCTTTGTCTCAAGATTTCAGTATTCGCTTATCAGTCGGTTATAAGTACATGACAGTCATGACATGTTTCCTTGTTATTCAATATAATGCAGACGATGACACTTGGAATGGTAATTATATACTGCGACTATACATTTTTAGTCATTTTAAGTGGTACTTGTTATGAAGAGAATATGAAAAACAAGCAAATTCAGGGAATTGTGGCCCCCTGCTTTCGGTGTCTTTGTGAGTGAAATGTCATTTTTATGACATATTGTGTGTATTATGAACATCCTATCATATATCATTCATTTAGAAATCATCACGAAACTCAAAGGTTAAGGTCAAAGGGTTAGAGTTCTTGCTATTCAATGAAAAGTCTTCTCACAAGGATTACATATGTGAAGTAGGAAAGCCCTTGCTCTTACCATTCAAAAGTTATGGTCAAGATTAAATTAAGTTTTTCATAAGTACGAAAAATCTCCAAGGTCAAAAGGTCAAGATTGTTGATATACAATGAAAGCTCTTACCACAAAGAATACATATCTTAAATATGAAAGTCATAGTATCTACTGTTCAAAAGTTGTGACCAAGGTAAAAGTTTTAGAAAAGTAGGTCAAAAATCAATGTCAATGGGTCAAAGTTCTGGGTATTAAATGAAAGGTCCTCTCACAAGAATTACATATATGAAGTATGAAAGCCCTAGCCCTTACTCTTCAAAAGTTATGGTCAAGGTTAAAGTTTTTTCATAAGTATGGAAATCTCCAAGGTCAAAAGGTCAAAGTTGCTGGTATCCAATGAATGGTCTTGTCACAAACAATATACATGTGAAATATGAAAGTCCTAATACATACCATTCCAAAGTTATGACAAAATTTAGAGTTTGGAATTTTTGTGTAAAATTGGGTCAAACTCCAAGGTCAAAAGGTCAAATTTGGTGATACCCAAAGAAAGGTGTTATAACAAGAAATACACATGTGAAATGTGAAAGCCATAGCTCCACTAAATCAAAAGCTATGGGCAAGGTTAAAGTTTTTGTGACGGACAGACGAATGAGATTTAATGTCCCCTTGCTTTCGCGAAAGCGGGGGACAATAACAAAAAATACTTCTTCAAACATCGTCGTTTTATAATTCATTATGATCAGTACACATCAGTAACAGTGCCAATATTAAGTAAAATTGCCAAGGAACTCTGTACACATATGTAGTTTCTTTAGTTTTACTTAATAACATAAAGGGGTATTGAAAACTTATGTCATCTGGTTTTAACAACAACCTTTTATTTTGATACTTCATTAAATCAATCTATCATATGGTAGTTTAATCACGTTACATCATTGCAATGTGTTACATTATGAATTGGATGCCATCATTAAGCCGCCGAACGAAAAAGTGTTTTTCACTTTCTGAATGATTCATTCCATATGCCTTAAGGATGCTAAAATAAATAATACATGTGATCTGTCAATTTCATCACTTGCGTATGGAAAAAAAACATCAATGTTAGTATTTAGTTATCTATATTTAGAAAATATTTAAAAGTTTATAAAATTGCTATAATCGAATATATTTAATACCGTATTTAGATAAGATTGTTTGTGTGATTTTTAAGAGATGTTCAAATTGTAGACTGAACGCTTATGCATCATTGCGGTAATTGGTAGGAACAACATCTGGTCTTGGTATTACAATAATTTGTCGAGCAGCTTACAAACCTGCATGATGATCTCCTTGTAAACAATAATAGGATATAAATGTACATAATTAGGTTAATGTATACAAGTAACACTAGTATATTTTGTAATCCAGGAAACTTGTTATTCCGGAAAGACAACAAAAATCGTGGCTGGATAAAGAGAATTAAAAGAAAAATTTCGAGGTCTTTAATTTTTGTCCTAAATCATTGTGCTTCTCACATGCATGAATTTTCTTTAAAAAATGTACGACTTTATTTATCCGGGCGTGTTCAGTGTACTCGTCGTGCTTGGTTTAATTCCGTGATCGGGGCTATTCAAAGTGTGACTGTGCAATGTGATTATAAGTCATCTGATGGAGTATATTTCTTTCTTAATTAGTAGCATAAAGTAGTTGAGGAGCATAGGAATGGGGCTTTTTCCATCAGTAGTTTGCGTCCCTAGGAGTAAGTAGCAACACACTTCACTAAGTATATCATCTAACCTATGAATCAGTTTGTTATGATAATACAGTATTAGAATAATGTAATAATACTCAATAATAAATTATATTACAGTATCTTAATTATTATTATGTAATATTCCTTTACCCGAAACCTCTTTGTTTAAGCCCCCCCCCCCTTAAATTGTATACATAATTTTCTATTTATATTTATTTATATTTCACGGAATCGAAAGTGAAATAGCAAATGAAACCATGCCATTCATTTTAAATTATATTCAATTCATTTAAAAAAACAGCAATGATATTTCCGTTACAAATATATAAGATATATAATGTTTTTACACAAATTTCTCCTTGATAGTTTTCCTGTGGTCAACACCAAGTACAACATCAAGTCCTAGACGACAACCAATGACAGGGAAAGAGAGGCGGGCCAGAAAGGCGACCATTCATCTTCAGTACGTCAGACAGCGAAGGGCGCGAAAAAGATATCGTCGACGTCGACGATGACGAAATCAATCCACCGGAAGTGCACGGAATGAAACTGTTAATTCTCAAAATATACGAACTGGACACGACAAAATTAAGGGAGGATTTATATGTAGAATTGAAAATTTTAGAATTTCTTGTTTTTGTTCGCCTATAATGATCCATAAACATTTTTTTGTCAATTGATATTACGCCTATATTGGAATTTTTTTTACTTATTTATAATGTGAAGAGATCTAATTTATATACTTTTCATCATGAAGCTATAGAGTTTAGAGTTGAGACGAAATGAAAAATCGATTTTTCCCCTTATAATGACTGTGTACAGCAAAAAAATTAATCTCAAAAATCGCAGGGCCCTGTTGACCATGCTAAAATTGAAACATCTCTATATATTCTTATCGTTTAATAAAGTAAATTATATCTCCGTTTGGACTTGATTTTGTATCACAGCATGGAAATAAAATATTGATGAAATTAAAAATGTATTTCTTTTTAAAAACATCCGTTTCAGAGGACATCTGTTTTATTTGTCAAAAAATTAAATCAAAATTAATTTTTAATTAGAAATATTTACATTACAAGTGTTTTCTGCATATTAAGTGAATGGAAATCTATTGCATTCAAACCACGATAACACGGGCAGGGTGCCAAAAAGGCGAAAATAAAAAGTCACGCTCACATTGACCAGAAGCTGTTACGTTGTCTCTTCCATTAACTGTAGCTTACACGAAGGATAATACATAGGTTTTTAGGTATAAATCGCATTTACATTCAAGGTAGAGAGTTGAAAAATGCAAATATAAGCAATAAATTATTATTTTTTGAAAAATATAGTCTCATAACTGCAACGGTGTATGCAAACAAATTTTAATAACGCGCTAACGCAAATTATTCCATGTGTTTGCACACACCGTTGCAGTTATCTTTAAAAAAATAATGATTTATTGCTCAAAGATTAATATTTTAAGTGGGTTTTACATGTAATTATCGCATAATTTATGACCAACCACCTCCTCTTAAAAAGTCATACACTGCTACTACATGTATACTGTAATTTTTAATTCTATTATGAACGTATTATCGTAGGTGGGGATATCAATATCCGAAGGTTGCCGCCTACCATTCTACGTTGTAATACGTTCTATGTTCTTATAAGCCCTGTACGTAGTTCATAAACAAAAATCAACCCTTATTTCAAATAATCGATCATACGAATTTTAAAGAAGATATAAATTAATATCACCATATATGGGATTGTTTACTTCAGCGGTTATCATTTCCGTAAGATCCGCGCGTTCATTGTACTATGACGTCATAACTATTTCACTCAACCGGGAAGGGTTGTTGAATACTGTTCGACAAATTACAGCAAGTATCCATTTGAGAGATCATGGTTTGTCCTTACAAACACCCTAAAGTTGAATAGGATGAATAGGATGTTCATAAGAAGTATCTTTGTTTTTCAATTTGTAATATTTCTTGATATCTAAAGAAACTTTGACAATCACAGTTCAGTTCAATATAATATTAAAAATATTTAAAAGTGAAGAAGCATAGCCTACAAATAAGGACGGAATTATTATTATTTTTTTTTTTTAAGGATATCAAGAATTAAGGAATATCGAACACGACAAAAAACACCGCAACTATGAATGAAGCGGTAGATTAATGTAGAAATGAAGTACATTAACCATTTGTAATTGTACCACGGACAAAGACATTGGAAATGTAAATATTTCAAAATACATTTGATTGAAAAATTCTCGATAAATACAATGCAAGGATGCATCTTTGTGTTAGGTATGCAAATGTTATATTTGCAAAAAAACTATTAAAAATATTTTGTATGAGCCAATTAACGTAAAGGAAAAAGGGTCTGATCGATAGTGCAATTTTTTGCAGTGTGCATAAAATTCTGGATAGGTTACACGACACATTTATTCCATTTATTAAAAAATCAAACGCAAAATGCATATTCTTGCAATTTAATGATGTACAAGTACCTTTCCTAATAAGTATGTTTCCATTAAACAATACAAATCAGGAACAGAATGAACAAGGACCTCTAAAACATCAGAGAAGGGATCAAGTGACATGGAGGAGTGAGCATCTCCTGTTGACCAGTCATACCCGCCATGTGCTTCTTGTCATGATCGGGAAATTAATAAAAAATCAAAAAAAATTCAGTATTCAAAAAATGGTCTTATAATTAGCATGAAAATTTTCAGTCAGCATTTGCCTAAATGATAGATTGTATCTGTTGACATGGTCATTGTATCGACAATAGAATTTACGAAATGATGATTTTAACGACACTGCTGATAATCTTGCATTGTTTCATCAATTTGTTTGTGAAACAGTTACATGTACCTTATTTTAGAAAATGTTCATGAGTAGAACATGCTCTTGTGTATTGAATCAACTACTAAAGAGATATAACCCCTTATGCTGGTGATAAGAGTACATGTATATTGCTGCATAAGTAATGAAGTTATTTAAAAGGTTAAATCATTTCGTTTATCATAAAGATTTGTTTTTAGATTTCCATTACGTCCTTTTATAGTTAGATGTATAAATATAATTCTCCAAATTATTATTTTTTATTTGTATAATTTCACGATTGTTTAGATATACATGGAGCTTTGAAACGATATCAAATATATCATTCTTTATTGTTTCAGATTGTTGCTTCAGATTGCTTAGGTTGCAGATTCACACTATCACTTATCCCTTCTTATCTTATGATTACATAGTCCTTTAAAACATCATAGATGGAATCAGGTGCCATGGAGGAGTGAGCATTCCATGCCCACCGGTCACACACGCTGTATATACTTGTCACGTGACACGTTATCTCAGATTCTCACTTCTACTGCTGGGTGCTCTTGGTAAGGAAAAGTCACTTCCGATTTTCAACTTTTGACGAAACAATGGGACCAACAAAAGGATCCCAAAACTTCTAAATACAAAGCGAGTATCCTACTAAACAAGGCGACCAATACCCTTAATTCAAAAATATATTATTTTTTTTTTTTTTTGTTCTTTATGAAAACGGAGGAATTTTTTTCTATGAAAAAATAATATGTTGGCTTTTTGCACGAAAGACATAATTTGCTTTAGATATTTTAATTCGTACTTATAAATAAAATTTAACACAGCGACATTGAAACAATCCGGAAAGATAATTTAGATTGACAAGGATTGACTTTCCTTCATTTGAATAAAAATTCATTTAACTTTGTCTGACCCTTATCTAAACCAAATGTACTCCATAAGATCTAACCATAATATACATGCGAAGTTGCAAAACAATTAAACTTGCACCATCAATCAAATTTACTAATTACCACAATGATTCATGCTGGTTTGCCAGTGTCAAACACAACTTGAAATATTACAAGGTGAAGACCGACATGGAAACACGAAGTTACTTTTGCAATAATAATCACTTGTATTCAGATCGTTCATCAATATTTCAAACCCCCTAAATGGACATTTATTGCTAATATTTACATTTCAGAAGTCATACTTTTTAATACCCTTCCTAGTCATCAAACGTGATATATAGGTGTTCATACTTCTTAACAACTCTTAAGTTGATATTATTAATTTCATCCTATTCCACAGTATTGTCTCCATGTCTCCACTTCTTTTCGTTTTCAATGTTTTTATACCACTTTAATGTATAGTTCAAAGGTCACAGGCCACACAAGACAGAATGAGAGGTACATGGTATAACTATTATTGACCAAATACAACATATATAAATAAAAATCTCAATTTTTAAGCATAATCGGAAATGAGCGGAATATCAAGTTTTGCGATGAATCTTGGGAGATACATGAACATACATATGCGTGTAGCTCTTATATGTTAAGAAACATTTTAAGTATTTCTAAAAAAATGAATTTCAGATAACAATTTTGCTAAACCAACTTTGAAATAGGTTTTAATGTCATTTTCGTACCAACACGTTGACGCCTGCATGGCGCGGTAGTTGAGTTGCAGAGTATGTACTAGTAATCCTTTTGTCGCGGTTTCGAATCCCACTGCTGGACGTAGAGACAGGTTTTTCGGATAAGACCGTAAAAAACCGAGGTCCCTTCTCGCAGTAGATGATAGCATGAAAAAAAAACCCCTCATTGCTCAATGACCCGGAGTGCAGAACATGCGTCTGAAATTTGCAGCTTTAGACAGCAAGTTGTGGGTCTCAATTTGAGTTAGTTAGGTTTACTTTAGAAGTACATTTTCCCGCGTGGTATTAATTAACACTATATGTAAGCGGCAACAAATTTTCCGCGGAAATTTGTCCAAGCGTACTTAATATAACTATAATGCATAAAGTGACAGTCTCGGAAATCCGCATAATATCCACACGCGGATTTACCAGAAATTGAGATTCCGCGGAATTATGACCCCGTGGAAAAAATTACACCTACAGTATTTGGATGTTATCTCTCGACTGACCTTCGATTTACAAAAAAATTGTAGCAGTTCCTCATTGACAACTTTTAATATGTTATCCTTGCATGGTGACAACGTTTTCCAACAGATTGTTGGAATTTTGATGGGCATTAAGTGTTCTCCTGTATTAGCTGACCTACTTTTATATTTCTATGAAGCAAACTTTATTGAGAAAAATGAGAAGAGAAAAGCACTTGTTATGGCCTTCAATTCGACAATCAGATATACTGACAATGCTTTATCAATTACGAGGGCTGTTCAATAAATAATGTCCTCGGTGCTCGGAGAGAAGCAAAAGACGCTTTTCAATAAGTTAGTCTTAATGATTTAACTTAATATTCTCTTTTAATTAAAACACATGTCCCTAAAAAATTATTCAACTTCTGATTGTTTTTAGAACTCATTTTTGGGTATTACCCATAATATACTGGAAAATGGCAGATCTTATGATTTCATGGACTCGTTTCTTCCTTCTGAAAGGTGTTTTTTTTCAAGTTTGGAAAATGAAACAAGTTAAAGGGCGAAAGATCTGGCGAATATTGTTAATGTAAAAAAATAACTTTCTGTTTATCCCGGTTCCTTCCTCTCATCAACCTTTCGTTTTTTTTTTTTTTTTTTTTTTTTTTTTTTGCAAAAAAATTGCTTTCTAGACTCTTCCAGAGATTAAACTGCCTCCCCGAATACGAATATGAACAACAAGACCACTAATATTTTTGAAAATTGCATATAAACCTGTCTTTGTGCTCTTGTAGTTCTTTGCTCTTCTCAGACCCTTGCTGTTTTTGTCAAGTACATCTTATTGTAAATTTTGTTTCGAGGGTTTTAAGCAATAGATTCAAGTTTCATTATATGTTTGAATTTCAAACAAACTTGGATAACTACAGTTTTTGATTTTTTTAAAAAAAATAATTGTTTAGATATTCCGTCTGTAACACTTTTTATACTTGATCATGTGATCCAGTTTGAGCCAGTCAGATAGTTGGAACAATAAAGAAAAATGATAACAAGTTTTGCATCCTCTACATTGTTGCCAATACAATTTCTTTTATTATACATAATACAATAGTTAGCATTTTCCTGTCATTGATACATATACTTCTTTGTGTAAGTTGTTCTGTATGGACATTCCCTGATAAAGAAACCAAGGTTACCTCCCATTCTGAAAATAAAAATAAATCAGGGGACATAAGTACTATATAAAGGACATAGTGAATTGCTGAATTTAATTGTGAATTCCTGATACTAGTGTTATGGTCATTATTAGATATTCTGATCTGTGAAACTTGATCTCAAGATAAATAAGGCAATAAAGACTTCTATCATCTTATTGCATTTAATCTGAGAAAAATATTTCCCCCCAAGTATCATGGTATTTCTTCATTGTAATTTATTATTTTAAAGGATATTTGAAGATGAAATAAGTGAAAATGTCTATCTCAAAAAAAAATGTATTGAAAAATAGAAGCTATACATACCCATCTGGCTCTGGGTCAGTTCCAGTGATTAGAAAACCTGGACCGAAAGGTGATGCAAAATTTTCCCGCGTTCGAAACCATTCGCCACATTCATTTTCATTGTAAGAAGCTCCAGACACTACAAGTATCCAATGGATTAATACTAGTTTACCATAAAATCACTAATTTCGTGGGAGTCTATAATTTTCATTGTTTTCGAGGTATGGAAAGACCCATGAATTTATGACCACTACGAAATGAAAAAAATCATTTACATTACTACTAAATATTTTCAAATCATGAAATCAAATCCCCATAAACCAATATTTTTCCTCAACCCTCAAAAATATGATCCCACGAAGATATGATTTTACAGTATATATAAAAAAAGATGAGGTTAAAATTCAGATAAATAATAGAATTTTTTACTTGGTTTAGATCTAAGTTTTCATCGTTTTTTTTGCAAGCATTAGAAGAGATTTTTAGGTCATGTTTAAGAAGCATCTAGCTGGTACAAACCAGAACAACAGATAGCCCGTCTCTGCCCTCCATCATTGATGAAGCCATTGAGGTAACCTTTCTGTGGACAAACGAACCGCTCAAATTCACCGAGGACTTAAAAAAGATAATAAAAGATCAAATATGAAATATAAACAAAAGTGTTATAAAAGACAAGTAAAATAAATAAAACCAATTGGTAGTACAAAACTGCTGAAGCATAAAGATTTTCTTCGTCTTTGATTCCAATTTTACTTACTGAGGACGACACATTGCTTTACTCTTCCTGGCGGAGGCAGACAGAATGCAGAAAATATAGAGGTAGCATCACCCCTAAATACAAGCGCTCCGCTGCCTGTACAGCTCGGATTAGACACACCAGTGAGGGGTTCGGTGTTTTCTACAATATTTTGTTGAATTCTATAATTAAGTTCAAAATCTAAAAAGTGCCCACATCCAGGTAACCCCTAAAATGCAATACAAGCCAGTTATCCTTGTGGTAGCTTTTCTGACACCTCTTGCTTAAAACTCCTAAAATCAAAAGGATCGATAGGCCCTGTTTTCACGGTGTGTATTCGTACTGAAAATCGTAATCAAGTGAGCTTTTGCCCTTTTACTCTACGCTAGGAATACATGTGTATATATCAAGTTTGTTTTAATAATTTAAGACGCATAGAAATGCATAAAATGTAGTTTGACGCATATTCTTACCCTGAACAATATCTCCCAACTTGAATCTTTCTGCTTCTACCCTCAGATTTCCTAACAGGCAAAGAAAAACAATTAATATCATGTTCAATTTAAATTAAAATAAACTTGATTTCACAGCTTTTATAGGTAAAAGAAATTTGATGATGACATAAATGAATGACTTGCTTCAAATATGTAGATTTGAAAGATTTATATAAATCAAAACTTTTTTGAATTTTAATTCCGTAAATAATGAGGATATGTAAAATAAATCAAATTATGCCCCCATGCTACAAAGACTAATTCATAAACATGTTCAGGAAACAATAAATGTCATAAATAAATCCGTTTTTAACGGAACACATGTTAAAAAATACGTTTTACCTTAAACACAATACAATCACTGCTGTTTTTTTTTTTTTTTAGGTTAATACAATGATTTAGCCATCTGAGTACAATATTCACCGAGCCCGAAGGGCGAGGTGAATATTGTACTTCGAAGATGGCTAAATCATTGTATTGATCGAAAAAACAGCAATAGTTGTTTTATTATATGATTCACTGATAAAATTATACAGCTCATCACTTGTTTGCATTTAAGTCCTGGCCAAATACAAGAGTATTTGCTCCTACATTGAGGGTTTATGGAGACACTGGATGGATTCCAAGTCAATACAGACGTTGGATAAATGTAATCAGATATTGGAATAGAGTTTTATCCTTTGGCAATGATCGAATTACAAGAATTGTTTTTGAAGTTGATTACAATAAGTGTAAGAATAACTGGTGCAGTGATTTGAAAGATATATTACACCAACTAGAGCTGGATTACTATTTCGAGTCAAAGCTTATGGTAGATATAAATTTGGTTCAATCAAAAATACACAATTATTACTCAAACCTATGGAACAATGAGATTTTAAGCATTCCCAAACTGCGGACTGTTAATTTCAAAACAATGTTTGGTAGGGAAAATTATGTTGCACTTGATATGCCTAAATATTTACGTTCAATTTTAGCACAGTTTAGATGTGGCATTTTACCTTTACGAATAGAAACCGGTAGATATCATGGTGAATCTGTTGAGGATCGAGTTTGCACACTTTGCTCTAGAAATAATGTAGAAGACGAAATTCATTTTTTACTGCATTGTCCTTTATACTCTGAATATCGATCAAAACTTTATGAAAACACTGGCATTAAGCAAATGGGGTGGTCAGATATGGATTTACTATGTGTACTTATTTCAAATTATCCTAGACAGGCTGCAAAGTACTTGTATTTTTCATTTATGCGAAGACAGTCCTTCATGTTCAGAAAATAATAATGTATTTCAATTTCATCTTCATCTACCAATAATCCTTATAACAGACACTACCAATCTTACCATACAAAATGTATAGATATATATTTATCACAATTATGAAATTGTTTATTTTTCATTCACTTTTTTGTTATTCTCTTAACGTTGTGCTCCTTATTTTCATTATATATTGTATTTCAATTTTGTGTTTAAAGTGGCATATAGGCCCGATGGGCCGGGTTTTGATTGTTATTTTATACAGTCTGTAAACAAAAGAATTTAATTGTACACATGTCACTATAAATAAAGGTCCTTTTTAATCTATGCAAATATTTTTCACTTCAAATCCCATTTTTGTGAAATTTTGAATAAAAAATTAAAAACTACACGGTAAAAATTATTTATTTTACTCATTTAAATATGACCCGAGTTGTTCTTTTCAAAATTTTTGACATGAGTTTGTTTGTATCATTTGTCCTTAAGAAATGAAGTTTATTTCAACTCATGTTATACGATATATTTACGAAGCGGTTTAT